AAGCACATTTATGTTAGATAGCAGTGGTTATATTAAGTGATTAAGGAACAACAGATGCTGTTGAAAAAAAGTTCGTACTAATGAGAATGTAACAGATATATTGACTAAGATATTTCTCAAAAAGAAGCTTGAACTCTATAGTAACTTAGTCAAAATGAGTTTTTTGACCAAGGTAAATTTTAAATAAAATTGTTAATCGTAATGAATCTTCTCTTAATGGGGTTAAAGGCCAAAATTGTTAGGAAAGTGAGGTCCAACTCTATGGTTTTTTTACTATTCAAAGGCCACTGGCCTTGTGTTTTTAGGCTTCCTTAAGAGAGCCCTACATAATAAAAGGTGAGGGCTAGTTTTTGGTGAAAAAAGAAGAGAGAAATAAAGGAGACGCCGAAGAGAGAAAAAATAAAGCCAAAAAATAGAAAAAAAAAGAGAATGGAGAATTGGTTGAATGAAAGTCAATCTGTAGTTCGATTAAACTAAAATTTTATCAGCTGGTTTATGATTCAGAATTCTATATTTTGAACGGTGAATATCGGGTTTGAAGCTTTCTAAAAACAAATCTAATGTGTATTTGTTGAGTCACCTATTTAGTGAGATTTCTCCAATTGTCTCTCTAGTTATTAATTAGTTTTAGTTTTAGCTAGAAAAAAATTTTGTATATCTATTATTTGATAGTGAGGATTTTTCTGGTGGTTTGTGATTTTTTTCTCTAAACTGGAGGGTTTTTCACGTAAATCTCGATGTATTTTATTTTTTTTACATTATTAATTATTGATTGTTATTTATTACTGTGGGTTTATTGTGATATATTACTTTTATATTATTGTATTATTGTTTCAAGCCCAACAGTCCTAACAGATACGAGTTGTGCTTATTAAGATGATATAGTAACATGTGCACTTGTTATGTGCCGTAGGTGAGGTAATGAGGTTACACGAGGAGTGATTGAGCTCACGACAAGGAATCCTACAGAAGTAGATGTGTTGAGGACGGTTAAAGGACCAAACGAGTTTTAATTGGCCAATGAGTATGGCCATATGAGTCGTACGGGTTGGTGGACCATATTTGGGTTGGCTAGGATAAATAAACCTATGAGATATGTTAGTCAGAGGACCAATTGTGTTGAGCAAGCCGATGGACATTTCATTATGAGTCGGATGTGGTTACCAAACTGAAAGAGTTGAGCAAGGCAGGGATATGTCAATTGAGATTGAACGAGAAGGTGGATGTTTAGAGTAAATGTTTGCCATTGGGAACGGCCTTTAGTTCAAGTGGGTCGGCGAACCTTGAGTATCAATGGGATGGTGAACCCTGAGTTTGAACAAATCAAAAGACCTTGTGCTTGGAATGAATCAAAAGATCCTAAAAAAAGAAACAGGCTTCGAGAAAGGTCCTTACCCCGAGTTGAGCTACTAAAGTCAAGCAAAGTTTGAGTTCATTGAGGTTAAAAGTGGTTGCAAGCTTCTATGGAGTAAAGAGTACATGGCTACATACAGAAGTGAGCTTGAATAAAAGTGGGGTGAGCACTTCAGTATGAGCAGACCGGTGATTGAAATCAAGATGACAATGAGATGGTATCATTATGAGTAATGGTTGGCCAGAAGACCACACCTAGAGAGATGATTATGGAGGGGCCAAGAGGACCTAAGTTGGGAGATGACCAAAGTGTTTGAATACTTCCATGTTAAGGTCAAGTGAGATTGATGCCTCATGAGCGTGGTTAACTTAAGCACTATATCCAGAGGGACACATAAAAGGCGCATCGAAGAGTTGATGCTGCAGGTGTGCGATTGGTGTGATAGGTAATGTCTGGTGGGACGGATCATCGTAAGGCAAAGTATTAGGAGGTTATTTTTTCTACTGAGGGTTATAACAAATAAATGCAACTTGAGGTCGCAACTTTGAGACTAATGGTGAACCATTGTAGTGGCAGATTGAGTAATAGGTTGAGTTTAGCCTATGGATTGAGGTAAGGGGAGAGAAAGGAAAGGAATGGAAAGGAAACAAGAGGAAATGGGGAATTTTTTTATTATTATTATTTTTAGATGACATAAATAAAAATAAAAGAAAGGGAGGTATGCTTAGATCTCCTTAGTTTTTCTCTAACTTTTTTCATTTTTAATTGCCCCAAATCAGGGAAAAGGAAAGGAAGGAAAAAGAATAAAATTTTTAAAATATAAAATGATTATTATATTTTTATTAATTTCTTTAAATTATAAAGTATACGATTTTAAACTTCAAAATTAGATTGATAATACAAACCATTGTTTATAAATAAATTTACTATTTTCAATTTTTTTCTTAATATTTCATAAATTTCATTGATGAGTATTTTTATGAATAAATAAAGCAAAATTGAAAATATGGAATACGATACCACAAACATATAAATGTTATAGTAATAACAAAATTGTCAAAAGTTATAACTGAAAAAAATATATAATAAATTATTTCTTTCCCTTTTCATTATTTAACCAAACAATAATTGTTAGGATTATTTTGCTTTGCTTTCCTTTATTAATTTTAGTTATCCAAACAAATGATATATATATCATTTCTTTTCCTTTAAAATTTTTTTTCATTCTTTTACTTTACATTCTTTTCCTTTCATTTACTAATATTTATCCAAATATAGTGTTAAAGTTTTAAGGGAGGAATAGCACAAGACATGCAATGGAGCTGGGATGAGACCTATCACCAGCAGCAATAAACAAGTACTGTGGGTGGTATTTCATGTGACAAAATCACGACCTAATCCTTGAGGGCAAAAAAGAGGAACATATGAGAAAATGTCAACTTTGTGCAACAAGGGAACTAGGTTGTGGTTTTGCTGTCGATGGGAGCATCCATGTAGTAATTTATTAAGGGAGATGTCATGGTTAGGCTTTGGTGTGCGTTGGTCCTACCATGATTGCTTGATGCGGAGTAGCAGATGAAACCTTGTACATGGGATGGTGATTCTGAAACAGTGGGCAGGTAGTATGAGTCCTAGAGCCAGACGGACATGGAGTCACTTTGGAGCTTAACAGCCTAGTGGGGCGTTCACGGTTAAGCCTTGTTATAGGCACCTTCAAATGGGTTGGTGAAGTAATAAGTTAGATGCTAGCAACATGGGGGTTAAAAGAAAGATCATGGTGCCTTGAGTTGGCTTTAGAAGTGCTTGGAAAGAAAAGTGTCTTCATTTCATACATTGTTATGATTCCTAGTAATAAAGCCCTAAGAGTTTTTGTGCTATTTACAAGGGGACGATCGATGTCAACTCTCTATACACCTTTGGTTACTCGATAGACGGAAACTTATTAATTTGAAATGAGCTACTCCTAAACGTATATAATATTTAAATGATTAGATATCGTAAAGTTATGAGTGTGAGATAATGTCTCATCGAGACGTAATAAACCCGAGGAAGGTTGGAGTTGACAGGTCTCATATTAACTTTTGCATCAGGGCATGAAGTCGCATCATAGCATTTGTTATGCCCGTCGGTTTCCCCTTCATAAGTCGGCTAATAAGAAATGAAGGATCATAAGTTGGTGCTTGTGTAAGTGGGACACTAACGAGCTTGAAGAATGAGCAAGCTAGCGTCCAGGCCAGCTGCTAAACCCTTGTGGCTTCTTGAAAGCATGTGCGGGAGTGTGTTGCAGTTGGGGCAAACATTCGAGTAACTCAATAGACATGATATTGGTGTCCATCATGCGTGTAAAAGGTCTAACACGAGGTTAAGAGGCATAGCCCCAATATGAGACCATTGTGGATGGTGTGTCGAGCCTAGTGTGGCTCTGGTTGGTTGCAGGCCAACACTAGAAGAGTGCCTCGGGTTCCAAGCACTGAAGTAGAGAAATATACGTGCGAGCATGATGTTGAGTTCTAACCATGTTAAAATGAGATATCACAACGGAAATTGAAGCTGCATACCCCATACGAGTCCTTGATGGGTTGGTCTTCGAGACCTTGGTGTTTGGCTAGCATTGGATGGGTGCTTGAGGCCTCCCGGTAGATAGCTGCTGGTTAGTTAATGGGATGAGTGTGCTCCCTCGATAAGTTTCAGATGCTTGCAAGCGACCCTTTAGGATCAAGCCACAAAAGGCTACGAGTAGTTATGGTGTCGCACGATCATGTGATTTCAACATGATAAATTTCAGATGCTTGCAAGCGGCCTTTTAGGATCAAGCCACAAAAGGCTCTCGTGCGTGACGTTAGGTGTTATTGTGAGTTGTCCACGATGGAGAGAGATAACCAATAGATAACCTCTATCATGAGTAGTTATGGTGCCGCACTATCATGTGATTTCAACATGAAAATGCTCGGTCTGTGTGACTCCCAGTTTGTTTACACTGAGGCTGCATGCCTCCAATCCTAATGTCCGAAAATAGACCTGCCTATTCTTCACCAGATAGGAATATTCATACCTCTTTGCCTTGGAAAACATATATAGAAATAGAAGTAAGCATTTAAAATCCAGTTGAATTTACTTGTACGTATAGCTTTCATAGTCATCGATAACATAACATTTGAACAATATAATGAAAAAAATTGATGCCCCAAAACCACATCAAGTAACTCATACCAGGCCTTAACCGCAATTTCAAAAACATTTTGATCTTAAGAAAGCAAGCACCAAAGGCCATTCACCATCTCAGAAAACCCACTAAGCACGAGGCAGAAATGAATTACCGGGAAAATTACCTCAAGTAAGGGAAGTATAACTTCCAAACAATTTCAACTCATCAAAAAAAAAAATAAAAATGGAAAGACAAATCTTGACAATCTGCAATCCATTTCCTGTCAAGTCCAAAACATCTTAAATTGAGCACAAATAGAGAGACTTCAGACTTGCCTCATTTCTTGCCATGTTTTGAATGCCTAATACCATGAACTGCACTTACTTGAATTGAAGAATTTTCAGCCATTGTGCCTTTAAGTGTTGTTGCTTATTCATCTATGAAAAAGAATGCCAGCTCTTGGATGGGATTATACCTGATTTCGAAACTTTCAGCTATGCTGGACAAATAATTAATATACAAGACAACAATCATTCATGCATAACAAATAAACTACCATGGTAAAAAACAATAGGCGAATGAATATTTTAACATTACAAAACCAAATCAAATCACAAATTCATTCTCACATACATGACACCATAAACATTTTCTCCATAATCAGAGCACATAATAGCATCTTGAGCTTAACAACCCAATAATTCAAAAATGTATACACTGTTATCCACTAATAATCCTTTCCAGACATCACTAGGAATCCACCGGCTTGCAGCACTAAACAAAAATACCATATATTGGATCACTTCAAGTACCAGCATTAGGCAAAGCTGCCATGAATGAATTGTATGAAGATTCCAAGTCAAAGTGGAGCTGCCTAGCTTGCTGTTCTGTTAACTCATCTGCCGCCCCCATCTTTGATAACCTTAAAATCCACTCCTTCATCTTTGTCTTCCCCTCAAAATCAGAAGGCAAAATACCAAGCTTATTAAGTGATGCTGAGAGGTCAGACAACACTGGGTGCACTTGATCAACTGCCACCATATTGAGTTTCAATGAATCCATGGCAGTAATAAAGTTCTGCACGCATTCAGCCACAATGGCAGCTGACGTAGTAGCAGACGCAGCAGCAGCAGCTCGGTGCTCTACAGTGGCAGGCACCCCAGAGGTCACCAGACGATTTATAGCAGCTGGGCAATCCATTTTATATGTATCTGCAAAGCGTTCAATACTAGGTACTGTGTCTTTGAGTGTAGAAGATAAGGTTTTGAAATGGGCAATAAGCTTTAGGCACTCAGTTTCATATTCAGATGATGAAATTATATCCCTCACATAAGCCTTCTCAAGCTTCTCTGTTGCTTTGATAATGGCATATAGCTCTGCAAAATTCTCATACATTTCTCTCTCGCGCTTGTCGCTCCATAGCTTAACCTCCATTTAGGCTAGACTTTGTATATTATTATATTGAATAAAAGGGTCGATCAAATAAATTGGGGTTTTGAGTTAGAGTTTGGAGGATTGGAGAAGAGAATGGGACACGCGCAAAGAGAACTAAAGATTATTCACTGCGAAACAATTGAATCAATAAAACAAAAAAAAAAAAACCAATAAGATGTTCATCATCATCAATAAAGATTCTAGTTTTCTGCATAACATATAAATCCAACCAATACTGAAATCAGCAAAGAAAATGAAAATCAAAGATACCCAGAAATAAAATCACTAACTTTATGAATTCTTCAATATCAAACATGGGAAATATAAAAAATTTAACATTGTTTAGTTCTATTTCTATATGATTTTCTAAGAGAAAACCAACAAAGAAAATAAGCTAAGAACAAAACAACCGGATGATCAAGAACAAAAATTGAAAGAACCCAAGAAAACTTCTTACCTTAGTTCATCCCAAAATGAGTCATTCCCTAACAAAATTCTACGTTCACAGTGCAAATCAAGGGAAGAAAAAGGGGTGTCTTCTTTTTTTTATTTGTCTGGTAAAAATAATAAAGAACACAAAAAAAAAATTAGTGTGGGGGAATTGGGATGAAAATTACTTACAATTTACAAAGTGAAACGCGGCTTTGAATGTCGTGCAGTGGTGTTGAGTTGCAGCAGAGGGAGAAAGAAAGAGAGAGAAAACGGGGTCTTTGCGTGTGCGTTGGAACATATTATTAGGTGCTTACGGCATCCATGTGTAGAGCAATTGGGAAGGACCTGAAAAGTAAAACGGCTCCCCCACCCTTCCCTTGTAGTGTTATCGTGTAGTCAAAGCTGTAGGATTGCCTTTTCCTTTCTTTCTTACCAGATCAATCGATGGTTATAAGATTTAAAATTATATAATAACAAATTTATCTGATATCCCATTATTGAAAATTCTTATATTTTTTTTTAAAATAAAATTGAAGGATCGTCATGTTTGTGGAGTTTAAAATATATCATTAACGCTTATATATTTTATGCTTAAATAGTGAATAAATTTAATAATTGTTAGTGAATCACATATTATTAAATTATTAATAAATTATTATAAATTTGATAATTAAAATTAATTTTTATTATTTATATTTTAAATTTAAATTTTTTTAAATTTATTCATTAATAATAAATACATAAAATTTATATAATATTATATCAAATGTAAATCCATACACAATGAAGTCATATATTATATTACATCACCGGCCTAAGAGTTAGACGTGTGCAAAGTCTAATTATTTGTCTGGACTTGTAGGCTGGGTCCAGTTCTTATAGGCTTGCGTTTAGTGCTTAACTTTTTTCTTTAAGTATTATCATATATAAATTTTTAAGAAAGAAGCTAATCGTGTAATTTATTAATAAAATATTAAAATTTTAATTTTAGTGCTTACGATTTAATTACTATAATTTGAATAAAAAAAATCCCTGAGCTGCGAATAAGAAATTTGAACTGGGAATTATTCCAAAACCAAACAATCTATCCATGACAACTGTGGATTATTGAACAGAGCATGGGCTTTGGACAAAACTAGGCATGGGCAATGAATGAGCCTATAAAAATTGGTCAACCTAGTCCAATGGACCATATTTCATGGCCTACTCGGCCCATTCGTCAAATCTTGAAGCAGGTTAATCAAATCCGATTCCTGCCCGAAACTCGTGAATAGGAAAGTGAAAATAACACAAAAATCTGCGGGATCCAGCAGGAAACCATCATCAAAATCGGGACTTTCCCAGCAAAATTATTTCGGGTTTATCTCAATTGTATAAACACTGCCACAGCTTTCCACTCAGGTCAGTCAAGCAATTTTCTCACAGGTTTAGGGTTCAATTGTTTTTCTTTTTTATTTCTGGGTTTTATTTTTTTTCCTGGCTGTTTTCTTGAATGTCGTTGCCAAAGGAACTATACCCATCTCAAGATGACCTTCTTTACGAAGAAGAACTGTTAAGAAACCCCTTTAGTTTGAAACTATGGTGGAGGTATCTAATAGCTAGATCAGATGCCCCTTTCAAGAAAAGGTTTTTAATTTATGAAAGAGCCCTGAAAGCTTTGCCTGGTAGTTACAAACTTTGGCATGCTTATTTACGCGAACGTCTCGAAATTGTTCGGAATTTACCCGTTACTCACCCTCAATATGAAACCCTTAATAATACTTTTGAGAGGGCGCTTGTTACAATGCATAAGATGCCTAGGATTTGGATAATGTACTTGTTGACGTTAACGGAGCAGAAGTTGATTGGTAAGACGCGTAGGACATTTGATAGGGCGCTTTGTGCATTACCAGTGACTCAACATGATAGGATTTGGGAGCCTTATTTGGTTTTTGTGAGTCAAAAGGGTATCCCTATTGAGACGTCGCTTAGGGTTTATAGGAGGTATTTGAAGTATGATCCTAGTCATATTGAGGATTTTATTGAGTTTTTGGTGAATTCAAGTCTGTGGCAAGAAGCAGCAGAGAGGTTAGCATCTGTTTTGAATGATGATCAGTTTTATTCGATAAAGGGTAAAACCAAGCATAGGTTGTGGTTAGAGTTGTGTGACTTGTTGACAACACATGCCACAGAGGTTTCGGGCCTCAATGTGGATGCAATTATCAGAGGCGGGATTAGGAAGTTTACAGATGAAGTTGGGAGACTGTGGACTTCGCTTGCTGATTATTACATCAGAAGAAATCTGTTTGAGAAGGCCAGGGATATTTTTGAGGAGGGAATGACAACGGTGGTTACTGTGAGGGATTTCAGTGTCATATTTGATGCTTATTCACAATTTGAAGAGAGTATGGTGGCTCTTAAGATGGAGAACATGGATTTGAGCGATGAGGAAGAAGAAGACGTTGAGGAGGATGAAGATGAAGACATCCGTTTCGATGTTAATCTGTGCAAGTCAAAATCCAAGTTTGAGAAGAAGATATTTAAGGGTTTTTGGTTACATGATGACAAGGATGTTGATTTGAGGTTGGCTCGGCTAGAGCATTTGATGAATAGAAGGCCAGAACTAGCTAATAGTGTCCTTTTACGCCAGAATCCACATAATGTAGAGCAATGGCACCGTAGGGTCAAGTTATTTGAGGGTAACCCCACCAAGCAAATATTAACATACACAGAGGCTGTTAGGACGATTGACCCAATGAAAGCTGTTGGAAAGCCGCATACTCTGTGGGTGGCTTTTGCGAAGCTTTATGAGACTTATAATGATCTGGCAAATGCTCGTGTCATTTTTGATAAAGCTGTCCAAGTAAATTACAAGGCTGTTGATCACTTGGCAAGCGTATGGGCTGAGTGGGCAGAGATGGAACTGAGGCACAAAAATTTCAAAGGTGCACTGGAGCTGATGAGACGTGCCACAGCTGAGCCTTCTGTTGAGGTCAAACGAAGAGGTAACTTTGTTTCTGTTGCATCAGTAAATGATATCTGAATTGGATGTTAGGTTTTTACATTCCTTCTGACATGCATAGCTTCGTATCCTATTCCTTTCCATCTCGGAGTCTTAAAACCTTTTTTCTTTAAAATAAAAATGAGACCAGTGTTATCTATGGTTGGTACCTTATTAAGCTTAAGGATCTTTGGTCTACTTTGTTGTTGTCAGTGGCTGCTGATGGGAATGAACCTGTTCAGATGAAGCTCCATAAATCCTTGAGGCTCTGGACATTCTATGTAGACTTGGAAGAAAGTCTGGGTACTTTGGAGTCAACTCGAGCTGTCTATGAGAGAATACTGGATTTAAGAATTGCTACGCCACAAATTATTATAAACTATGCATTTTTGTTAGAGGTAAAAACAATTTTGTACTTCTGTTACAACAATTCTGTTAAAAATTTTCCTTATATGGACTGATGGACTAACAAGAGTTCTTCTAATTTGTGCAGGAGAACAAATATTTTGAAGATGCTTTCAAAGTGTATGAAAGAGGTGTCAAGATATTCAAGTATCCGCATGTGAAGGATATATGGGTCACTTATCTGTCAAAGTTTGTAAAGAGATACGGGAAGACGAAACTGGAACGAGCAAGGGAGCTGTTTGAGCATGCTGTTGAAACGGTATGCATATTATTATCCTTTCAAATCTTTAGGCTAGTTATCATTGTTGCTGACGTATTATAAGCATGGGTTTTTCACAACTGGCTTGATTTACCTTTTGTGTAACTAAAGTAGGTTTAAGGGCACTTATTAAGTTGTAATAAAAGGAGGACCTCTAGCCAAAATTATATGCCTATCTGTTTCTATTTTTCAGGGTTGATTTTGGAGTTTATTACTGGTCACTAGACTGAAAGGGGGAATGGTTTCCCCATTCTCAAAGCATAAGATTCTTGCTAAAATGCATTTAACAGATAAAGAACTTTAAAACTAGTTAGATGGCATTACTCTCAGTCTGCCTTTGGCTGCTTAGAGGATTGTTGTCTGTGCAAGAAATAATAGTCTCAGATGACTGGCAAGCTGTTAGTATCGTTGATTTAATTTTAAAGGTGTAGAATAACATGATTATGTGGAAGCACAAGTTTGACTGTTTGGAAACTTCCCTTTTAAAGTCTATGATCTGCTTTTTTTGTCTTTCTTCCATTTCCTTTATTTTTCTACCTAAACTTTATATTTGACTTGAATGATGCCGATTTACCATTGTTATATGATACTAATTTTGACATCAATTTGACTCATTTTTATCAGGCACCTGCAGATGCAGTAAAACCTCTGTATCTTCAGTATGCAAAGCTGGAGGAGGATTATGGGCTGGCTAAGCGAGCTATGAAGGTCTATGATCAAGCAACTAAGGCTGTGCCAAATCATGAAAAACTTGGCATGTATGAGATTTACATTGCCCGTGCAGCTGAGATCTTTGGTGTCCCAAAAACAAGAGAAATTTATGAGCAGGCAATAGAGTCTGGTCTTCCAGATAAAGATGTGAAGACAATGTGCTTGAAATATGCGGAGCTGGAAAAGAGCTTAGGAGAAATTGATCGTGCTCGTGGAATATATGTATTTGCATCTCAGTTTGCTGATCCACGCTCTGATGCTGATTTCTGGGATAAATGGCGAGAGTTTGAGGTGCAACATGGAAATGAAGATACCTTCAGAGAAATGTTGAGGATTAAACGGAGTGTCTCTGCAAGTTATAGCCAGGTAAGCTTGTTGTTCTTTGTTATTTTTAATTGCACACAACCAAAAAGCATAAGTTAAAAGAAAGATTCGAGTTTTAATATTCATTTCTTATGCATCGAGAAATGACCTTTGTTTGGACAAAAGGAGATGGTTGTCACTGGTAATTTACCATTGAAATGTGGATGAAATAAGTAATGGCATGCATTATGCTTTTGTTTATGCTTTCTTCTTATAGGACAAAATAAAACTTGTTTACAAGTTTTAATATTGCTGACTACTAAGGCTCTGTTTAATGCTTTTGATTTTTGCTATTTGTTTCTAGTTTTCTATTCAAATTTAATTTAATTTAATTTATTTTCTTTTTCTTTTCTATTCATTTTTTTGAAAAAAAGCAAAAAGCATTTACTAAATGGAGTCTGAGTTTTTCCTATTGTCATCAGATATGTTTCTAGAATAAAATGTTTTAACAACTGTATCAGTATATGTTCTTTATAGATCATCTATCATCTAAGGACTTAATTTCAATTCATTTTGTGCTACTGCTACCGGCTACCTTGACAGCATTTGTGTTACTATAAAGATGCCGTTTGGTATTGGCATATCAATATCATGCAGTGACATATCACTTACATGTATTAATATCTAATTTAATCCTTGTTCTTGCATAATCTTGTATTTTCTCATTGTTTTCTGTTCTTTCAGACACACTTCATTCTCCCAGAGTATCTCATGCAGAAGGATCAGAACATTGATGAAGCTAAAGACAAATTGAAACAGGCTGGTATCTCTGAGGATGAAATGGCTGCACTTGAGAGGCAGTTATTACCTGCTGCTAATAATGCTACTACAAAAGACAGCACCAGAAAAGTAGGGTTTGTGAGTGCTGGAGTTGAGTCACAGGCTGATGGCGGGCTGAAAACAACAGCAAATCTTGAAGATATCGAGTTGCCAGAAGAAAGTGACTCAGAAGAAGAAGTTGAAATTGCGGAAAGAGTTGTTCCATCTGCTGTGTTTGGGGGTCTTCGGAAGAGGGACAGTGATGACGATGAGGGTGGAGATGATGCCTCGGCTGCCAAAGAACAGAATGGTAACAGCAGGCTGGGTGCACTTGAGCGAATTAAAAGGCAGAAGAAAGCTTAAAAATTCTCGATATTCGACCCCTATTGAGTTGGCCAAAAAATAGGAAAAAAAAAATCCTACTGAAATAGTTTTGACAATTCTATGAACCATGTACCCAATTAGCAAAATTTCCGAGCTGTATTCTTAGTATTTGTATATTTTGATCAAATCTGTTAAGTTTTGGAGTTCTTTCTTCAACTTTAATATGATCTATTATTGGACAATCCAAGTGACTACTAGCTCCAGTGTTTAATCTTAATTTTCCCATATAAAATATCATCAAATGACAGAACATATATGGAGTCTCTTCCTGTTGTTTGTCTTCTGGCAGCACTGAACAACATATTTTCAGATTATCAATTATTACACCGAAAGGTGCTGAACTTTTGTAAGGTGAGGGAGGTGAATTTTAAGCAGTGCTTGCGCTCATCCAATGAAGAACAAAAGGGAGGTAATGATTATCATGTGAGGTTGAGGCAAACCCATTGCCATTGGCTTCTGTTTCTTTCAGACAATGCCATTATGAGAGACGCATGCTACGATATGAATTATTATAGTGGTGAATGCCACATTTTTCAGCCAGCCCGAATGTGACCTGACCCATCAAACGAACAACTCCATCCCAATTAACAAAGTGGATTAAGTGAATGGATTTTTTTTTATTATATAACTTAAATTGGGGTTGGGGCCTATGGTTAGTACTTATATGAAGCTTTAAGATACAGCAATACTTTGCCGAAAAGCTTGACCTTAAAGAAGAGTTAATGCTATTGCTAGGGCTATGATTAAAACCCAACGTCATAGGGCAATCAGTTTCAATTTTACCGGGAATAAAGTTTCCATGAAATACGAATCTGTGGTTTTGGAGCTATATGAAGATCAAAATTTGATTGCTCAAACATAAAATTAGTGAGGACTAATCACATAAAACTCTATTCAATTATTATAAACATGTTTAATTTAGGGTGACGTTGACGCTGTAGAGCTAGCGTATCAAGGTGTTGAAAAAGACCAGACCACATCATATTCAGGATGTTTAAATTTTGATTTTAACTAAATTAATCCATTGAATAAATTTAATTTTATTAATTGGTCAGTTATTAAATTAATTTCAATCAATTATTAAAAATTATTTTAAAAAATTTAATTTTTAATTAATTTAATTTTAAAATTGAATTAATTAAAATTTTAATTGAGATATAATAAAACTTATATATATAACTAAAAATATATAAAATTATACGTTTTATTTCTAGTTATTAAAACTTTTAATTTAATATTATGATATTAGAATATTTTTATTAAATAATTTTATTTAATTTATTTTTAATCTAAAATGTTAAAAACTTAAAATATAAATTAATTTAACATATTCAGTTATTTGATTAATAAAAAAATTAATAAAATCAATTGACTTAGTTTTGATCAATTAATTTTTAAAATAAAAAAATTTAATTTAATTAATAAAAATAATATAATATAATTCAAATCAAAATTATCTAACACCCCTAATCACATTTATTCGGCTCCCAACCGTTCCAACCGTGGATTAGGTGTCATAGTGGGTATAGGCAGACAAGGACCTGCCACATGCATTTCATTATAGAGTACACCATTATTCTACTTATCCATGATGCATTGAATGGGATGTCTTTTTTATTGGTAGCTTTTATTTATAACGAAAATTAAGGGAATTTGAAAAAGAAATTTTAATATATTTAAAATTCAAACTTTTAACATTTTAATACTTTTTATTTTATTTAAAAAAAATAAAGGAATTTAATATATATAAAATTACATTATTGAAGCCATCTTCATTTCAACGTAACCTTCTAAGTAATTTTGTTATGGCCCATGATCAAGGCTCAATTAAACTAAACAAAGAAAATGATGAGCTAGTAGAAAACATATCAGTTATCCATTTAAATATGAAAACTGCTAGTTGTCTTCATTTACAATACTTTAATTCCTATGAATGATCCTACTCACACTCAAACCTTTTCCATCAAGCATTTTTTTTTTTTCATTTTTGGGTAATTTTTCTTTTTTTTTTCAACTCCAACACTCTAAGCCTGTTGGAGAAAACACATTCTTCCGTTTTTTTTTTTTTTTTTTTGGTTATGAAAGGAAATATTTTCTATCCTTAAAAAAAAAAAAGGTTGATTTAACTATGGTCACCCAATAATTAGTGGCTAACATCCACGGTTAAGCATCTCCGTGTACTGATTAAGTGACTCTTGCCTCTGCATCCTCATCTCGTCATTAAACTTCTTTATAAACGCTTCCACTCGACGGTTCAACTCGTCCTGACTCAGCGACGGCTCTTTCCTCAGCTTTCCTGAAGCCGGAGAAGAGCTCACTTGTACAGGTGGACGCTGGTAATTGGTCCGGTCTCTGAACGTTTCTGATTTCTTCATCAGAGGCGAGTCAGCCAATGCTTCCACCTTGATATCACGGCCGTGATGCTCCCACGTGTCCGACTTCTTCAAGTGCCTCGTCAACGGCATTGCTCTCCCTTCCGTTATCATCTTCCACGTGTTCTCCAGTGTCTCATGCCGTTTTGGCTTCGCCACCCTCAACGCTCGGACACCTGCATTAGTCGCAGATATTTAATTAATTAAATCACCATTCCATCCTTCTTAGTTACGTAATTTAGCTATTTTAATTTTTATAATACAGGAAACAAAAGGACTATTTTGGACTTTTTCAGTGGCACGTCAAGCAGTCTCTTGTTTTATTTATTAAAAAAAATCAAACCGACGACGTTTGAATAGAACTCGGAACACCTGAATAACAGCACTGAAACGCTGCCGGAGAGGCTCCGTCGAGTCGACAGAAAAAGCTTTTCTGATTTTTTTTAATTTCGATACTTTAGATATAGACAAAGTCTAACGAATAACTGTTAAAAGTTTTTAAAAATAAAAATTAATAAATTGTAAAAAAGATTCGATGTAGAAATTGTGAATATACCTTCAGGATTGGCTTTAACAGGTTTCCGGTGACCGATCCTAGAAGAAGCCGGGGGTTTCTCCGGTGGAAACAGAACTACAGATGGAACCTCCGAAGAATCCATTCTCCTTGGAGGAATCCACTCTGACTTGGAGACGGCAAACTCGTCACCTCCATCTCTATCATCTTCAACCACCACATTGCTCTCCTCAAAAACCGTCGTTTCCACCTCTTCTCCTCTCTGCTTTGGCTCGTACACGAAGGCACTCGGTTCTACCACATCGAAATCTGAGCCACTCTTCATCTCGTACTCTAACGCCGGCCGTTGATCAACCGAGATCTTCGATCTTCGCTGCATCTGCTCCATCTGATCTTTCTCGCTGTTGTTTTGATGAAACCACGACGATGCTGCGATTGTGATAATGATTCCATTGATAATGACGTAAAGATAGGGAGGCTTGAGCCAAGAACGGAAGGTGCTCCACAATAACGGAGCTTGAGATACAGAGAATTCCAAAACCAATGGAACAGAGACTTTAAGTCCGAAAGCTATACCTAATATACTAATAGAGATAAAGAGTACCTTTAACGACAACATCCAAGTGCTAGCCAACGCCATTTTTACAGGTGAAAGAAAAAAAAAACACCTTTCTTTGGTTTTTTGAAGGCTAAAGGGTCTTTTTTGATTTCTTCTTTTGGGTTCACCGGGTGACAGAGGGTCAGGTGAATGGAAATTTATAGGGAGGGAGAGTGGGGAAACAGTTTAGGATTGAATCTTGCCCGTTGGATTTAAGATGAATTGTAATTGACGGATGATGTTTGTTTCCTGAATATCAGCGGTGGCCCCAGTTGTAAAATATTAAATTATTAAAAGATAAGGTGAAGGTTAAAACGAAGCTTTCTTTGCTTCTGTTCAAGTCGACACGAAAACAAGTGATCCTTCCAGAACTAGACCATCGTAATTATGTTTTTTTGACAATTAAGTTACGTTCTCAATCAATCAAACTAATTTCTGGTAAAATAATTTTACCATTACTATTTCTTCTCCTAATAACTTAAAAGATAAGTTAAAAAGGATTTATTTCATATCGTAAATTTAAATTTTTCTGATATTTTTTATTAAAAATTAAAATATAAGAATAAAAGAATGAATTTTAATTTATTAAATTTTGATTTTTAAATTTGATTAATATTATTTTTTTAAAAATAATTGGATAAATTATTTAAAATAATTTTTTATAATATTTATTTGATTAATGAAAATGTTTTTATTTTTAAAATTTTGAATAATGGCAAATTTTTTGTTTGGGTGGTTAGTTGAGTGAGAACTAGTTAATTTTTAATTTAAAAAAGTGTGGGGCCAAACAAATAATAATAGACGCGGGGGTTTCAAGAATTTTAATCTATTTAAGTGAGAAATCTTTCTGGAGACTGTAAAGAGAATTGCTTTTTTAAGAAATCTGCAGACTATAATTGTGTACTATAATATAGTAAATGGGGCTAAAAAGTAGTAGTAGGAATTCCTTTTGAATTATTTAATGGGAATAGAAGTAATCTATTTTTTCCAACGGTCATATTATTGACCGTTACTCACGCAAGTTGTAGCAGGATCCTGAAGCGCTGCTCCAGTGGGTGCGGAGGGGGTTCGACCTTTGGGCATGTGATCTACAGCTTGCTGGCGCACCTCTGACCGACCAACCTTTTTTTCTTTGTTCTCGTTTGAATTTCATCGTATATTTTGGTGTGATATGATTAAATTTATCACATTATTAATTAAATTCAAATAATAATATTAATAAAATTAAATTAATATTAATTTTTTATTAATTTTTTTAATGATAATTATAATAATTTTTTAAATCATAATTACAGTAATTTTTATTATTATTTTTAATTTTACTGTAATTAATCTTATCATTCATCTAAATAGAATCTTTGTAAGATTGAAATAACTGATGATTTTATCATTTTATGGAAAAGCATGGGTTATTTTAAGAAAGATGGAAAAGAAACTATTGAAAGAAATGGAACAGTGTGGCTAATGGCTGTGTCCTACCAATTTCCAGTTACTAAGAGGATATGTGCTGTGTCTGTCCCCAAACGTAGTAACCTGTCATGAATGCTTTTATCTTTTCTTTGTTTTCCCCCTTTTAATCAGGCTTTTATGAGTGCGTCGCTTTGGTGTTTAAAATATTTGCTCAAACTTCATTTCATTTAAATGGAAAAAAAAAAATGGGAGATTCCTTAGCTAACATAGTGATTATTGAGAAGAAACATTGCGCTTTTTTCACCTAACCTTTTACTGCATTTAAATAGCCATCATAGCTTAACGGTTCATCATGTAGATCATTTATATGGATGATAAGATTGATTTTGATAAAATTAAAAATAATAATGACGATAAAATTAATTATTATAGTGTTAAAATTAAATATTGTAATTATTAAATTAAAATTAATAATGAAATATATATTTTAGATATAAATGTAAAATGCAAACAATGATGAAATGAAGTTTAGTGAGAAGAAGAAAAACTTATTAACGATATTAGATTTAAATTAATATGTAATAAAATTATAATCTATATATTATTTAAATTAATAAATAATTAAAATTATTCTATGTCAAATAATATATTTGTTAATAAGTTGAAACTTAATAAAATTATTTTTTTATCAAATAATACTTTTATAATTAAATATTTGAGAATTATTTATATATATGTTAATTTTATTTAACATTTAAAATCTTTAAATTTTATTTAATAAATAATAAAATGTTTTTTTAGATTAAAAGTTAAGAAAAGAAGAAAAAAAAACAAAATTTAAGATTCTTATAAATAAATACTCATTTGAAGACAAAATAGGAATGAAAAAAAAAATAACGCGGGTAAAAGAATCCAATTCTCGAATTTGGATGCAAATAATAATAATAATTCGTGAGTCTCGCATCTTATGGGGTAAGGTAGAGACTTGACTAAGCATCTCAAAGTCTTTTTTTTTTTTTTTTTTTTTTCAGCACAAAGCCAAAATACAAAAAACGACGAGCGATAAGAAAGACTTGAAGTCAGGACTTGGTCCATATTTATGGACAAACAATTTATAATATATGCTCAAAACTATATATTAAGGCAACATGAGACCCCATCCATAATAAAGTCATTGACATTTTTTATGTTTCTGATCAACAACATCAATATCATGAAACTTAGAGTGGAGACATGAAATTCTGCCCTGTTTGGTCGATGGGTGTTTTAACAGTTGGTTGATGAGCAGATATTTTTCAAAGTACATGTCAAATAAATTAGTCAAGAAAAAAAAATTATAAACTGTGAACCACCATGTATATATATATATAGCAAGAGAATTCTATAATTGCAATTGTATATATAAAAACATTATAACAATATTTTAATTAGTTTTCAACTCTTAATTATTTCATTTTCATGACGTTTTATCCATAATTTTGTTTGCTGGCTACAAGACTCCCGTTTGCAAAATGCATGAATATATGATCAATTAATATATAGTATTACATATGATTATTTCTTTAAAATAATTAAACAACCAATATATATTCGTGACTCTCAAATTATAATATATCAATAGAAGAAAATCCCACCCCATAATTAAATCATATATTATACTCTTTTTGTCCCAATTTATTTGTCTTGTATTGACTTTAACGGAGTTTAAGAAAAAATTAACTTTAATGTATTTATATTAAAATTAAAAATCTTTTTTATAAAATTAAAGTTTCATAATTTTTAATATTAAAAAGTAAAAAAATCATTAAAATAATTTTAAAATATAAAAAAGTAAAAGTTTTAGATGTTAAAAAAAAAAAGACATAATTTTGGGACATCTAAAAAAAATAGACAAAGAAAATGAGACAGAAGGAGTATATCATTAGTTTCAGAATAATAAATCCAAAGTAAATAAATGATGTAACCGTGGGCATCACAAGAATTTTCCATAGCGGTTTAGGTGTGACAATAAGTTTTATTGGTTGAATAGTTGAAAATCAACCAAAAATAGTAAGATAGTGTTTGGTTTTACAAAATAGAACCATTTTTTGTTTTTATTTTTCAAGAAAATGAAAAATATGAGTGAAAAACGTATTTGGTAATTAAAAATGAAAATAAATTTTTAGAAAATAAAAATAAAAATGAGTTGAAATATAAAAATAAAAAAATGTTTTTAATTGTAAAAATGAGGGTTTTTATTAGTTTTTTCCTTATGTTTTGTAAATTAGCATATTTAAACACTTTTTAATGTTATTGATTAATAAATATATATTATATTTATAATTAGATGATATTAGAAGTAATATTATTGAATATTTTATTTATTTTCTTATTTTTGTATTTTAGAAAATAATTTTTATTTTCAATTACTAATACATTTTTTAGAAAACAAAATATAAAAATTATTTTCTAAAAAATGAAACTAAAAGATAAAAACAAAAATTATTTTTTTCAAACCAAACGAAACGCAATATTTTTACTGTCAACAATTGTTCGACTCGTTGATAAAATATTAAACTCTTAATTTTATTAATTAAATTCAATCTCTCTCGAATTCATACTTTAAAAAAAAAAAATTTACAGACGATATTGCATGTGCCGTCACGTATAGTAGTCTTTCATGCAAAAACTAAATACTAGGGGTAGTGGCTGAAAAGATATGCTTTAAGTAACTTTTTCTGCCAAAAGTAACGAGCCCTAAGAGATGGGAGTTGAGAAACCCAATTGTTGCCGTGTATCGTGCCATCCGTTTGCATGCAATTTACAGTACTTTAGGGATAAGAGATAGAAACTTACTGATTAAGACATTCAAAGTCATTGGTCTTTCCAGATGTCAATTTAGTATGTACTTTCTAGATTAATGTTGTGCTAAGATTTGAAATTAACGCTCCCTAAAAAGGATTAAGAATGAAGGCTGATGAACAACGGTTGCTTTCGGCTAAAACGCGTGTCGGAGAAGGGGGACAAATTGTCGGTCCATTAATATTCCAAAATGTTTTAGGATTAGGTACTGCAAGGAGAAGATAGAGTTGACTCCGTTAATCAAAGTCTAGAGAAGAAGAAAGTGCATGGTAGTTGTATTAAAAAAAATCATTTTCAAGCGAAAGTGTATGAAGATTTGAATTAGAAAATTATGGATATTTCACCATAGAAGGACTTTGGCCATGTATTTTGTGGATAAACAAGTAATGCTGCACATGTGGTATGCGTATGCATCAGAAATAACTGGTGGTAGTTCGGGTTTTTTTTTTTAATAGAAAAAGAGGTAATCCAATTTCGAAGTGAAGAGCAAATAGTTAGCAAACAATACCTAAATCATTGATCAACATGAAATTTTTGATAAAAAAAAAAAAAAGAGCATATTTTCAATGATAAAAGCTCTTGATTTTGGGCATACAAACATTTAATTCAATTAATTAATGCATGATTCCTACTCAAAGAACAAGATTTCATTTTCTTTTTCAAATAGAAAAACTTCGGATAAAGCAATGTTGTATATACTTTTCAAATAGTTATTTCATCCTATGTACTCAAAATATGACTACATTGTTGGTGATTTGGTGCGTTAATTTTCAAGTGAATCTTCCTTATAATCTATGCTTTGGATATTCAATCATTAACCTGGAAAAAGAAATCTATTTCCTCCCCTTTTCTTTCCTAGATTTCCCTGCAACTGCTTTCAGTGCAAAATTCGTGGTATATTCATGGAACGTATGGTAGACTGGCCAACTATCATTTGATTAAAGTATCTAGAAAATTAGTACTTACTACAAGAGATTTTTTTAAAATAAATGGATACTCGGAACATATTCCTTTGGCTCTATCTTCCTCAATTATGAGACCCATAAATATTAACGTAGATATTTTATTTCAAGCCATCCAAAAACAGTAGTACTACTATTTACCAATATTTATTTGATTGATTATCATTGGTTTAAAGAGCATAAGGAACTTGTATATGTCTATGTCTTTGTTCACCTTGGAGAGATGCTTTCGTTTGAGTTATGCTCCCTCAGGATTCCAAGCTATTTTTTTCCTTATGATATTTCTCCGACTAATAGCTCTAATTAATCCTTAACTCATATAAGAAAAAAAAAATCACTCCATTAATCCTATTGATCAGATGTTGCTTCTTTCTTCACTTACACCACTTATTAAAACCATGATAATTTTAACAAGCATGGAGTGAAACACGAGAATAAACATCCTTTAAAAAGAAAAGGTAAAGCTGTTTGATTTTATATCCATGTTCCCATCAAACAAACTTGATCTCTAAGCTATCTAGCTAGCATCACCAAAACATTACATACCCAAGTATTATATTCATTGTAAGAAGAAAAAAAATGAAGATGAAAGTCACAAAAGTAAGCATATTTAATTGCCTACAGTTGGGTTGTCAGGATAATATTACAGATAATATTGCAAATATGTCCCACAAATTAAGTCCACAAACTAACACCGGAAGTTAATGTTTCTCATTTGAGCTAACCACCTTTGATTTGTCCTGATTATGAGGAGTTGTTCCATGTTAGCTTGTTGTTTCCTCCAAAAAGTGCATGAATTTTGACTGAAAACAAAAAATAAAGCAGACAAATCAAAAGGGTTTGTGGCCTGTGGAACAGTTTTGTTGAGATAGAGACGGTTTGGCTGAATCCTAGACGGAAGAAACATCCTGGAAATGACATCTCCAAACGATAAGGTTTTACTAGTAATTTAGGTAACCGTTTTAACAGTTGAAAGTATGGACGGTGGTGGGAGTAGATAAGTCAGACAAATTGGAAAATCCTGATTGATTGGTTCAAGTAGAGACAATATTGAACTTAACCGTAGAATTTTTTTAATGACTACTTGAGTCACTGGTAAAGGAAAAGATTTAAATAAAGTTTTTAAAGAAAATTTTGTGGAAAATTAAAATCAATAAATTAAAAAATTTTATTATATAGATGCGCAAATTTTCTAAATTTTTTAAATAAATTTAATATATTTGTTAAATAAATATTTTTAATAAAAAATTTTGACATAATTTTTACTTTTGAATAAATATTTATCAAATTTAAATTATAAATTATATTTTTAATAATTATTTTTATATATTATTGATTTTCATATTAAACTTTATCAATATCATTTTAAATATTTTTATTAAAATTTTTGTTAAATCATTTTAAAAAAATAACTTCCTGAACTTCATATAAAAATTTAAAATTCACTCGTTGGGTCAAGAACAAGAAATATGGAGATGGGAATGGGAATGGGAATGGAAGAAAAACATGAGGCACTTTTTCAAGTCTATAGTCTTAACTCTTAAGTTTGTTGCTGATATGGCACCGTCCTTTTATTGGATAGGTGACAAATTTCATTCTTTCATTGGAACATGCCCTAGGTTGTCTAGAGGCGTTTGTAACAGGGTGACAGTCTAATCCAAAACGGAAAGATTACAATCCGTCTGATTTTATAAAGTTGATTTTTTTTTAATCAAATTTTAGGTTGGGTTAAATCGTATATTAATAAATAAAAATTAAGTTTAAATTTTAAATAAATTCGATCTGATCCGATATTATATAAAAAATATATTTTTAATTATTTTTAATTTTTAATATATATTTATATATTTATATTTAAAAAATAATATTTTATTAATTTCAGATCGAATCGAATCGAGTATGATTTATACAATATCGTATTCGGGTTGAGTTCAGATAAAAAAAATTAAAAAAAATTTTAGATTGAGTACGGATACAAATACAAATTTTATGATTATAAAATCGAGTCGAATTCGAGACGAACAAAAATTCACCCTGACCTAATTCGTTGGTATCCCTAATTTGTAATATGGATCTATTTTGTTTTTTAATGTGATTCTTATTAGGTTTCCAAATTTCCTTTTCCATATATATCTATATATATATATATATTACATTCTTTATCTCGCTAATTCATTCAGAAAATAAACTCTTTTTCTGTTTTTGTTGAAGTTCACCAAGTATACATGGAAACAATGTGAAGCTGAAAGCTGTCTCTGATTTTATTTCGAAAGATCATACCAAGTTTGACTTCATGTTTATGTTACGTTGCCTAAATGGTCATTCTCATTGAAAATGACGCTTAGAGCTCAGCTTTGTCTTTGCGTCAAATAAAGCCCTAGATTGGTAGCTACATGCCTAGCCTTTGCCTGCATCTTATAATGCTTAGGAGTTGAAAAAAAAAAAAAAAACAGTTTAGATCTTTCTAAGTATGATTCGTGAATCTCAAATTACAATATATAGAAGAAAATCACATCCCATAATTAAATCATATACTATATATCATTAATTTAAGAATATCTTATAGAGCTCCATTTGTGTAAAATCCATGGAACTCTAAGATTTTTATGTATACTTATTTCTTATCGAAATATTGAATCAAGTTAAGATCGGGACAATTATGTTGATTTTTAGTATGAGCGATAGAATCGTCTTTTGTGTCTACCAAAACCAATCCATTGTCTTTAGCCTATCCAACAATTGATGATCTATAATCATGGCAACAATTAGACTCGTAAGGGGATTTCATCTTTGGTGTCTACCAAAACCAATCCATCCTATTTAACGTATTCACTAGTTGATTTTTGATGATCTATGATCATGGTAACATTGTACTCTTTGAGTGGGATTTAGTACTGCCTTCAAGGCTATTAGGGAAGGCAGTGAGGCAACAACTCAGGATCTTAAAATTTTTAAGATCAATCAATGCATTAACCTAAACAGTTATATGGGAAAAACAAGAAATAGGGTGGTGACTGGAATATTACTGAAGTTATAGGGGAAAACTAAGAAATAAACAAGAAATAGTATAGTGAGAGGGAATGGTTCAAAAACAAACAGACAAGGGCCTAGGATGCTTTCTTTCAAGAGTCAGTTGACGAAAATTATTACGAGGGTCTGAGAATTGGAGTTTAATCTCAATTTCTCGAATTGGCCAGCTCTGAAATGATAACAAAAAAAGAATTGTTTCTTTGAACAAATCAAATTAACATTAATATACAAATTGTGATTAACAATAAACTTAAAACAACTTAGCAGTATGATAACAACTGTAGGTGATCTTTAGCGAGTAATATTTCACAGTTTTTGAAGTCCATTATAAAATTTTACTCTCTGTATGGCAATGTCAGGCATAGTTAGAGATGAAGAGACCTTGCATGTCCAAAGAAAGAAAAACTAATTATGCATATCGTTTTTCTATTGACAGTGAGGTTATTGGCCGCATACCCTATCAAGTTAAATATTATGGTTTCAAAATTTTTATTTCTTGCATTTGGTAAAGTAAAAGTTCCTCAAGAAATGTCTTTCTTGCATATATTCATGTTTGATATACAAAAACAATTACAACATAAAGCATAAGCATTCACATGCTCATATTCTAATACCATAGGAACACATTTTTTCTTCCAATTGGAGTTTGGGCATCCAATATCATTCATTTTTCTTGCCTAGCTTCATCTTAGCTTCAGTTTCTCCACTATATGGGAAAACATGGTATGCGTACTGCTGGAGAACAGAGAAAACAACCATCTCTAGACACACCAATACGTTTTGAAGAGCTTCCTCAAGGTGCTCCACATCCAACCAGAAATGATGAGATCGAATAATGCCCACCGCAACAAGTATTTCAAGCACCACTCCCTGCATGTGGTCCATTAATGCCAATATCGAATGTATGCTTACAGAATAATGAAGTTCAACAACAATTCAACAAACCATTGACAATACAAAGACAAGAAAATGTAAAGTTGCTACTACTGGGGGGAAGCGAGTTGCCATTTGCAACACAAGGCAACTTTAAGAATTTGACTGCATGTATAGCTTGGTTTTCAAATCTAATGCAACAAAACAGTCAAAAACTCTGCAATAGCAACAAATAATTGAAGAATTTATAGTCCTCAAATCAGAAAGTTCCACTCTGAAGCATTAATCAGGCAAACTTCTTAGAAGGAAGAAACATAAGATATATCTAGCCAAAGGAGGAGTGCAGAAAATTGAGAAGCTATATGGTTTGCTAAGTTTGAATAATGAGCACATATGCTATAATTTACTCTTCTTTGATGAGTTCCATCTGATTAAGTACATGATGCATTTGATTTTATGTTGAATTACCTAGATTAGGCCCCATCGCAAAATATCTTCCCCTGTCCATAGGGAGGAATATTTTCCTTAAAGAGGCCTCAATGCTTTTCTGATCGCAAATTATGAAAGCTGAGTATTGGTTAGCCTATCCCCACAGTGTTCAGAGCCTAGGAAATAGGTTTGATTAGTTTTACTTTGGGCCTTCACTGTTTATCCTTTGGGGTTTAGAGAAAACAAATGTCTATCCTTTCATGCTTCTATTGTTTGTGAACTAAGTGAGCCCTCCAAAAATAAAAAGATTCATTGAAAGAACCAAAGAACAGAACAAGGTTTTACCTGCCAAAAACAGAAGAAAACAATCCCCTTGATGCACAAGAACTTTGCAAGTGGCTTGTGAGGTGCCAACTCTTTTGCAAAAACATGGTAAAAGATTACCAAAGAATATAATGCTAATGAAACAGAAATATTAAGGATGATAGTGAATGTCCAGCTCAACCAAGAAGGATAAAACCCAAGGAGTTGCAGTATTATCATCAAGACAGAACACACGGGGCGGATGACAACAAATTGCCATGTCCAATACTTGAGAAGCTTTAGTGTTTGGTGGTTCAGCCTAACTGTTCGAGGCTGTAGTTTGAGCAACCGCAATATATCAAGAGATTTGATTAATAGTATAACTTGTTGAAATAGCATATATTAATTTAAAATTCCATACCTGAAAAAGGGTCATTGGAAATGAATGGTGAATCTCTCTTCCTTTGATTCCATCAGGTACAATATTTTTGCTAATAGATATATTCAAGTAACTATACATCAAAGCCAAGAACTTTGCAATCACCTACAGCCAAAAACATTAAAGCAGCAGTGATTAACTTCAACAAACACAAATCCAATAAAGCCAAATCCAAAGATTGAGCAAAAGGGGGCACTCACTAATGCCTCGTAGCATTCCTTGATTGACTCCAAAAACATGAAAAACGCTTTGCTTCCTCGAACATCCAATAACCCCACAAAGGAGTCAATAGCATAAATAGGAGCCATAAGGATAATAATTAGTATAGCTTTCTGCTCCTTTGGGTTTTTCCAGTAGAAAAGATGCTGTGATAGAAGCTGCAGTGTGAAATGCATTGTAAGCATCACACAAAAAGCAGATCCCATCAGAGTAGTTTGCTCACGACTTAAATGGCTAAAGTCCATGGTTTCAGCTAAGAGATGAGAAACCCAAAGCACGAATCTGCAAAGGGATGGAACTATACCGATCAGGAAACCGAAATTTTGACCTAAAAACTTAGGGGATGAACTACAAATTCGTCAAAATTAAAATAAAAATTAAGAGCTCCCAGTTTTTAATAACAGAGATTTAAGACAAAGATTTGGGAAACTAACCTGATCAACGAAATCTTCGCGGGAATTGAGATAATAGCAACTAAAGTCTAAACGAGCGAAAGAACTAGAAGTCCAAGGTAGAACTGTAGAAGTTAATCCGCTGATGTTTGCTGATCTCATCTAACATCTGTATAATTTTGTCGACAAACCATTTCCTTGCGCAACACCTGTTGTTTTTAGGAAAAAATATTATTTATTTTGTTAAAGATATTTGTGACATTTCATGAATAAATAGTAAAATTAAAAAAAAAAAAAACCTAAAGAAAGATAAAGGTACTTATGATATTAACGAAAAAAAAAGAAGAAAAAGAACAAAAGAGAAAAAAGAAAGAGTTTTTCTCAAAAGTGGGATTATTTGCATCCAAAAAATTTTTAATGCATCTCACAAAATTAATCAAATAAAATTTTTTTTAAATATTCATTAGTTAATTATTTCTTTGTGCTTTACATCCCTTCTTAGTAAGTTATTGAAAATGAATTTTCAAAAATTTTTTCAATGTACCAAAATTTCAAAAATATATTTTCAAAAAATTCTTAAATATACCAAAAATTCATTTTCAAAAAGCATTATAATTATTTAAAATTATATTTTTGGAAAGCATTGCAATTATCTGGATATATATTTTTAGAAGTACTTTTTTACTTCAATTTTTCTGTTGCGATCTTCAAGTGAGTTTGTAATTATTTTTCTTACATATACGATATTTAATTTCGGTAGTAGAAATCTCTAATCTGTCGATCAGATATTATCTACTCAATAATATTTGAAATATTTATCAATTCTAATAAACATGTATTTGAAAGGAATCATCAATTGGGAATAATGCCCGTGCAAATGATTACTGCACTATGTGATGAGGTAGTCATGCTTCATCGCACATAGTACATCAATCAATTTGCACAAGTATTTTTTTCACACTTAGCAATTTCTCTCAAATGCATGTCTATCAGAATTATAAAATATGTAAACGTTATTGAACGTACAATGCTTGATGACTGAAAGATTAAAAGTCCCTATTGGCGAATTTGCTAATTTGCTAATGACATAATGAGCAATTTTTGTATACCGAATAGTTATTTGATCTTTGTTGGTGGTTGAAAGTTATAGCGTACTAGAAATCCATTTCCAGAAGTTTTTAAAGGATTGCGAAAATGAATGTTCGAAAACTATTGAGAAATTTCGAAAATATACTTCTGAAAATTCTTAAAGGTTTTCAGGAATTAAATTTCTAACAAGGGATTCCGGAATTGAATTTTTGGTACGTTGAAAAATTTTCAAACATCCATTTACAGAAAACTTCATCCATTTCTGAAAACTTTCAACACATTTCAAAAATTCATTTCAGGAAGGCTCAAATCGCTACCTTAAATCATACCTCTAAATTTAAAATCTTAAATATTTGAAAACTAAACACAAAATCAAACGAATAAATAGAAAAAAAAATAACCAGTTTACCTATGATTCTAAGCTATATATCATTAAAATCAAGATTGGAGCTTGATTTGGGTTGAATCCTTAAAGGGTTTTGGGTTTTGATGAAGAAGAAGAGAGGGAGGTGTGGGGTGTTTGGTTTTTTAAAAAATTAGTGTTTTAATTTGGGGTGTGAAGAGAAAAAGAGATGGGTGTTGTTATAACGTCTAGATCCGGGGATCTATCGCTAGACATTGACTTTTAGGGAGTCGCCACCAATCTTTTTATCTAGGTGCGATTGACCACCTAAAGAATCTGTCCTTTCAGAGAATACCTAAGTTCAAGGGTCCCTAAAAGAATAGGTTCAGGTCTTCTAACCAGAACAGGGTTCGGGAGTTCGATTATGTGTGAGGAAGGTTATAGCACCCTCACAACACCCATCAAAAGATGGTACCAACTTAAATTTATGTTATCCAATGAGCCTTAAAATTTTACCGAGTAATTAATTATTAGAAATTATTCTCAATTGACTCTAATACTTTTAGCAAAAAATTGAGAAAATTCCCTCACCTCAAGAGTATGCAAGAAAAACTATTGTTTCACTTGCAAAGGCTCTGTCGTCGGATTATTTAAAGAAAAATCAAAATCAAAATCAAAATAAAAAAGGAAGGAAAGAATAATTGTTTTTGTGTGTAGGAAAAATTGATACTTTCAACTTTTCCTCAAAAATATCTTTTGAAAATTTGTTTTTAAGAAAAATTGATATTTTCAACTTTTCCCCAAAAATATTTTTCTTGAAGATTTATTTTTAAGGAAAATTGATATTTTCAACTTTTTCCCAAAAATATTTTTTGAAGATTTATTTTTAAGGAAAATTGATACTTTCAACTTTTCCTTAAAAATACCTTTTTTTGAAATTTTATTTTTAAAAAAAATTGATACTTTCAACTTTTTCTTAAAAATTATTTTTTGAAAACTTTGATTTTCAAGGAAAATTGATACTTTTAACTTTTCCTCAAAAATACTTTTTTTGAAATTTTATTTTTAAGAAAAATTGATACTTTCAACTTTTCCTTAAAAATATTTTTTTGAAGATTTATTTTTAAGAAAAATTGATACTTTCAACTTTTCCCCAAAAATATTTTTTTTATTTAAAAAAAATAGAATAATAAAACAAAATAAAAGTGAAAATAAATAAAAATATAAAATAAAATAAAATAATGAAAAGTAAAATAAAAATAAAAATAAAATAAAGATAAAAAGAATATTAAATAAACCTAATCTAATAAATAAAAATAAATAAATAAATAAATAAATTCAAAAAAAAAACCTGGAGCGGCTCGGAGTACGACTTGGCTCGGCTCGGCTCAAGGAAGAGAAAACGGCTCGGAGAAGCGGCTTGGGACCTCGGCTCGGCTCGACTATCGGCTCGGAGGGGGGAGACACGCGCGGGTCAGGAAGCGGGTCGACGCTCGGGTCGGGTCGGATCTCGACAAAATGCGCAGATCCTCTAGGTCACTTAAGGTAAAAACGACGTCGTTTTGGGAGGGTATATAAGGCTCTTCCCTCTGTTTTTCGGTAGAAACCTTCTCCCCTCTCTCTCTCTTCCTCTTTTTTCTCTCGTTTCTCTCTAAAACGGTCGAAGAACTCCGGTTGAATTTTCATCAGATTCTGAAAAATTTCACCGGAATTTAGGTTTTTCGTCGGAAGTTCGTTGGAAGTTGGTCGGTTTCTGGGATCCTTCATCGAAAACTGGGCAGCTCACCGGAAACTTCAAAGTTGGCCGGAATTTTCACTGAAAAATGCAAATTTCGTCAGAAAATTCAACCGAAATCTGGAATTTTCCAGAAATTCCCAGAAAAAAAATCTCTAAAAATCTCCAAAAATTTCTGCTAATTCTCGAAATATTTCTAAACCTTTTCCTAACCTTCAAAATTTTTTACACGCCCCTTTTCTCTCAATCAGTAGCTTTTGCTTACTATTTTTCTGTGTGTTTCTGTGTTCTTCGTTCTGTTCCAGAGGTTCTTTTCATAGGGATTGATCAGAAAAGTTTCTGATCAATCCCAACTCCTCTTTGGATCGAGATTCAATCATTGAATCCAACATGGACTCTTCTGATTGAATCCTAATCCAATTTTCAGCCAAATAAATCAAAGAAATAAAAAAAAATAGATAAATCAGATAAATCAAAAAATTAACAGATAAATTAAAATTAAATAACAGATAATATAATCTGATATACATATAAATTTTAACAGAAAAAAATTATTAATAATAATAAAGATATATATATATTAATAAATAAGTAAATACCTAAGATAAAAATAAAAAAAATATAAAACAATAATAAAAATAATAAAATAAAAATATAAATGTGAAATACAAAAAAATAATAATAATAATAAAAATAAAAAAAATATAGACTTACCTATTTGGGCCAGGCCCAATTGATCCGGGCCTGGATCAAATTGGGTGTCTACAGCTGCCCCTCTTTGCACATTTTCTGTGAAACAGAAATTGCGCAAAGACGTAGACACCCAATCAAGACTCAACTCGACCTTTTTACTTTTTTTTTATTTTTTTTGTTTTTGATCAAAGCTCCTCTAAGCAGAGGCTCAATGACTTTGAGAAACATAAATGGCTCCTCTAATCAGAGGCTCAACAACTTTGAAAAAAATAAATTGCTCCTCTAAACAGAGGCACCACAACTTTAAAAAGTAAATTGCTCCTCTAAGCAGAGGCACCACGACTTTGAAAAGTAAATTGCTCCTCTAAACAGAGGCACCACGACTTTGAAAAGTAAATTGCTCCTCTAAACAAAGGTACCACGACTTTGGAAAATAAATTACTCCTCTAAACAGAGGCACCACGACTTTGGAAAATAAATTGCTCCTCTAACAGAGGCACCACGACTTTGGAAAGTAAATTACTCCTTGACAATCATGTCCAAAAGAGTTGAAAGTTGTATTTGAAGGAATTTCAGGAGATTATGCCCAAAGGTCTTATAAATCAACCCTGATACCAAAAGACATCCTATTTCAAGGATTAGGAACTTACCTGACAAGTTTCTTCTCAAATTTGTAAAATATCTTCATATCTGTCTTCTCCATGTGGGATGTTGGAACACCCCTGCTTCTATACTTTCCTGAAAGTAGTGTATGCTATGCAAAATGCATATGAATTTCAATGCATGCTATGCAAATGTTGGCCAATTAATTCCTATTCAATGTATGGTACTCAAGTTTCTCAAGCTTTTTTTTTTTTGGGCATCAAGCCTTTTGATTCTTCAGAGATCCAATTACACTGCTCTTCTAAGATCGAACCAGTGTAGCTCTTAGTTTGTCTCTTTCCA